ATTCAAATGTCGTAACTGGGGCACTATGTCAACACTGCGACCTCCGAACTACGTCATCAAGTTTTGCGAAGAAGAGATGGAAAGAAAACGCTCTTTTTTATTCGCGAAATCCTATCGAAACAGAGAGGTTTCTTGGTCAATGGCGTTGCGTGCGAGTATACTTAAGTCCTACTGGTGTCAATAAACTCGTGTAAAGTAGGGAAAAAAACATTCCAAATGAATGAATATCGTTGCGACGCCCCTTTAAGCTCACGCACTTCGGGTATGGGCAGACGCCAAGGCGTTACAAAGACCTCAATAAGGCGGGGCCTTGTGTGCTAGGTTATGTAACTCTTTTGGTACGCCATCCCTTTTAGCTTGGTGCGTTTAGTAAGGATTACTCGTAAAGATGAACCCCATTACAGTGTCTGACAAAGAAACACAATAGCACACGTCCGTGGAGTTCGCGTATCACGCGTCGGTTTTACGACACCGAGGCGCGCGCATGCAGATGCTCGCGCGCAGCCTCCCGTCTACCCTTATCCTTCTGCTATCTGCGAGTTCGAGTCGCTTATACATTATATATGCATATTAAGCGCGGTTATCGCTCGCCTGCCTACCTGTTGGCTTATCTCACTTCCGTAATTTTCTCCCGCTCTTTCTACGCCGTCCTTCTTTTATGCGCGTTATATATTTATTTTTTTTTCTCGACGCACGCCGTGTTTTTTATCCACTTACCAAAAACAACGACGCCAGGTGCATCAAGCGGTGGGGAAACTGACAGAACAAAACGGTCGTGCCGCGTCTGTGGCAGAAGGTCGCATTGTCCGTAAGTTCGTATTTCCGTAGGTTCCGAATTCGTGAACTGCGTGGTGCGACTAAACTGCAGGTCATGACTTGTCGCGAACGCGCTTTCAGTCGAGAGCGAAACATTTCAACGAAACATCGTAAAGCCGTTAGTCGCGCTGTTCTTACGCCATGCAAAAGACACGGCGTTCGCTGCAACGTAATGACAAGAAAAACAAATTAGACACTTAGGACTGTTTACGTGTAGGAATGCGAAAGCATTCCTACACGCAGCGGATTCTTACAAGTAGCGCGCCACGTCTGCCTTTTTCACACGGCGCTCCGGCGGTGACATAATCACGCTACCCCACTGCGCATGCGCGGCAAACCCCGCCGGCTCCACGGCTTCCAGGACGATGCATCAACGTTGCTCTGTATTTGACTATTTTCAGGTTGAAACGTTTTAGTATTTTTTCGTCGCCCATACCGGATACTTCTATTAGGTGGCTGGGGACGAGAGTATACACAGAAAAGGTCTATATGACCAATGCGGCAAAAGTGTCATATACAAAGAAAACAAAAAACATTCCTCAAAGAGTGTCTGGAGGCTGTCTTTTACATGACGTATATAGCAGTGTGACAGCAGTTTTAGAGTGCGCTCTTATTGACGTTCGAGTTTCTAACCCGATCGATCGATCTATGTGCCTGCTTAACGCGTGGCGAACGGAGTCGATTTGAAGGCAGCATTCAACGATTTATCCGACGGATAGATGTATGCTGCGTTACGGAGCGCGAGTTCGTCTGCTTCTTTTGCATGGCGGGTTGCGGTGACTTCAGAACGCCGGGCTCTGATTGGCTCTGAATGAGGGATAGTGGGTAGACCTCAAGGCTGCTTTGCTTTGTGGTCTATACCACTGTCCCTCGGTCAGGGCCAATCAAAGCTCGGCGTTCTGAAGTCACCGCAACCCGCCATGCAAAAGAAGCAGACGAACCAGCGCGCTCCGCATCGCATATGCATGCACCAAGTCCGTGGGGCAATGAATAAACGCTTTCTCGTCGTAGATACTTTTTTTCTAAACAAGGTCGGATGATCTGCTGATCCCGAAGGGTTAATGAGACCTTCCTTTATTTAACTATAGCTTCAAAATTTTGTGCAAGCAACGGGGTAGGGCGACATCAACCTTCTGCTCATCGTATATACACCATGGACCTATATGCTATACGTACGCGAGCGCGCTTGTAGCTTTGGTATAGAGGCGTTCCCGCTGCACCGCCGATCCTGCATGAGGCCCGCGCTCCTGGCCTTGACTGCGGTCCACGTTAAAGCGCTGCCGCACTCTCAGGTTCCACGACATTTTGCAAAAAAAAACACGAAAAAAAAAAATGACGTTAGGCGAGGCTGCGTGAAACGTCAAGTGACACGCGTGTCTCGTTCAAATTTTGCTTCTTCTCGTCTTAACTTCTGGAATCTTACGCGTGCACGCGCACTGAATATACACATCAATGCCCGTGTATATATTACACACAGTCGAGCAACGCTCCAATTAAGCGTGCTCGTTTTACATTTCGCGCATTAATGTGGCGCTCTCCACGCTGTTTTTGTCGGAGACGAGCTCAAAGATGGAGAGCGGGTAGAAAAAGAAAAGGGTCTCGCAACAAGTTCTTCCGCTCTCACGTCGTTCTATTTTTTTTTATCTTTCTTTCTATAGTTCGCTCCCGTAAATAGACTGAAAACGGGCAGCTGCTGATTTAATTAGACGATATACGGACGGTGGGAATTCGTATCGGTAACAAGAAGTCACGACTCGGCGCTGGTCTAATTGGAAGACGGATAGGGCCGGGGATGCGCCGCTCCTTCTCCGAGGTCTCCCTGGAGAGACTGTGTGAATATACCTGTGTATATGTATATCTTCCTTTGAGATCTAGTTTATGGATTTTAATTATTTGACTTTTGACAGCGCACGTCACGCTCATGCGCGCGCTCTTGAAGAACGAGCGTGTTTGCAGGAATGAGAATTTTCGAAAAGGAAATAAAGAATGGAGAGTTCCTGTTTCAAAAAGTAGAATTACTTTTCTTTTTCTTTTCCCTACACGAACTCTTCGATCATTGTTTTCTGCAGACGCGTATATATACTAAAGCCAGCTGTAATCGCCGCTTTGAAGGACGAGCTTCTTCGGAAGAGAACCGCAATGAAAGTTTCTTGATTGCCATTTAGAGCAATCATGTATCTTGATTTTTTTTATATGTTTCATTACATTTACGAATATCTTTTTTTATAATGTGTGTTTAGTTGGGTCGTGCGAAGTAGACGTCCCGTGCGTGTATTTGCCCGATTCTCCGAGGATGGAAGATGACTTTCCAGATAACTTGGCCGCAGAGTTTTCGTAAGGCGTTTACGCCGGTCCTTTCCGCTGCGCCGTCCGCAACGAAGACGCCCCTACTGCGCATGCGCGGCCCTCTAGCCTTGATCCGGAGAGCGTTGCTTGACGGCGGAAACGATCTACGAAAACTGCCGAAAAGTTTTGTGTGAGATAGTGTGCGCATTCGGGGCTGGTGAGCAGTAACGTCGACTGTAAGCAGGGATGTAATGTGCCGGGCGCTCGTCATGGAAAGTACAAGCGCCCACAATGTCATTTTTGTTTTTTTGACGAAATTAGACTATATGGACTCAGGTTCATAAAGAATTTCCGTCCTTCACTTTTATTTTTTGATGCTGCTGGAACGTCATGTTATCAATCTTTTGAATTCTATCAACACCGCCAAGGCTGCATTCTCAGCAAGTTTCAGCTTCAAGTACGATGCGTATAGTCTCTTTGCGCTGGTCGAAAAACACGGTTATCTTTCCTTACAAACACTCAGTATATGTGCGTACGCAACGTCAACACCGTTATTGTCTTCGTATCGAGCACCGACCGACCTAACCCTCCACGGGTTGTTGTCTTTTTTCGCCACCGCTCTTTTACAAAGAATTCCAGAAATGGGTTCACAGAGATACACGACAAGACGGAGAAGGGTATTTCTATTTGTTCGGATATTCGAGCGCTGGATATCGTGCGCACGTGTGTTCGCGGCCTTGGAACGATAAGGCCGGGAGGAGCGAGAAGAAGAAAGTGTCGTTTCGTATAGACAGTGCGCGCCGCATGCGTCAGCTGTGCGATCCTGAGTGTTGTCGTCAGATACCGGACGAGGGTGCACCGCTCGAGCAAACAGCGCTACTACAGGTCATCCGTTGTCTACTCTAGTGCATGCTGCTGCATGCTGCTGTTATCTGCGTCGCTTCGAGTGGTCTGGGACAACCTGGAAAAATATGATGCGCTGTTTTACCGTCTTCTCTCGACGTTGAATTCGAGGCTTGAAGAAATGCCCTCTTTTTCTTTTTTTTTTTCTTTTTGCTTATGGCGGGAAATTTTGGCAAGAAATGATGCCTCGGAAGTCTACGAGCGGATGTCGACAGGGCGACGACATGACACTTCTATAACGCCATCATGCGGAAATTGAGGGATCACTTTTAAAGGGTATAAATTGCGTTTAAATGAACTTTTTTTTTAATTAAAAACACAACTTGGCTGGAGCCTGGAACAATCGAGCGCAATCGCGGTCGACTTGAAAGCCAACGCAGAACACAACCGTGAAAATAATTACAAACAAATCGGAGCGTGAAATGCCACGATGTGTTCGCTACACCTATCCTTTACTTATCCGGCATCACAATTCGTGAAACGTTAAGCCTTCCTCGTGGGGTAACAAGTGGCTGTTCCGTGCCTTGTAGTGCAAGTGAACTGCTGCACACATGACTCCACACAGGTTCATTGAGTCGTATATCCTATCGGACTGTCTCGATGTATAGGACTGTGACGACGCCTGACGCCATAACGTCACGCAACGCCGCAATGTCAGATGACGCTGTGAGGTCCCCTGACGTGGTCACGTTGCACCAAGACGTCACGGGACACTATATATCACCGCCAGATGATAACCGAGAAATCTCATCCCGCTTAATTTACCGGGGAAGTTGTGACCTCGCATAACGCCACGTCTCTCCGTGACTTCACGGCCCTCTGATGTCACCGTGTCACGTGACACTGCTATTCTCCGCTAAATTTAGCGGGGCCCCAACTCCTCGCGAAGCGCGACACACACACACACACACACACACCGCGGGATATTTGCTGGGATCTCGGTCAACGTGTGCGAAAGTTCTGACGCGCGAGGCCGGCGCGTTGCTTCCCTGCAGACCTGGCGGAAGCATCGGAGCACGGGCGCAGCCACGCGGGCCACCTGCAGAAGCACTCGAGGCACCACTCATCCCCGTCGTCCCGCTGGGGCGCGGCGGGTGGCAGCGGCACCACCGTGGTCACCGCCGTGGTGTCCATCTGCGCCATGGCGGGACTCCTGTTCGCCGTCGTCCTCAGCCGCTGGCGGACGGACGCATCCTCGGCGCCTGTTCGGGTGAGCACGCAGACCCCTCATCTACCTCAGCACAAAAAACAAAATTTCATCGTTAAAAAGAAAGTTCCTTGCCTTTGTTTGTGCTGTAAGGAACTCTTGAGATCATCCGCTAGTATGGGATAGCACATTTAGTGAGCCAAATGAACATTGATTGGCGAGTAAGTCACGTACCAGGTCCGAGGTCACACTGCTCTTACACCCTATACGAAAGACAGTCTACAGACAATAGGGAGTTTAGGGAACCGTTTTCACACGTCCGATGAGGTACGGTGGGACCTCCGGCACGAACTGTACATGTGTGAGTCATCTGCAGTAGCGCATGCGCAGTTCGTACCGGAGGGCCCGTCGTACTGAATTAGGATGTGCAAAAACGGTTCCCTAAAACTCCCTATTGTCTGAGGCCTGTTTCTTCTTTGCCTGACGGTCATATGGGTCGTATACAAAAACCGTCCGCAGACAGTTCTACCATCATATCTGTAGCGAACACATTCTCTTTTGTATGATGTGCTACCAGCGTAACTGCGTAACTGTGACTCTGGAAACAGATCGTTTGCTATGAGGAGAGCAGGTCGTCTGTGACTCTGGAAACAGATCGTTTGCTATGCGAAGAGCAGGTCGTCTGCTTCTTGCGCAGGGTTCGTCAAAACGACGCCGAGCTACGATTGGCTTTGATTGGAAGGATAGCGCGTAGACCTCAATGCTAGATGCCTCAATGTCTAACCACTCTTTTTTTTTTCAATAAACCAATAAGAGCTCGGCGTTCTGACATCAACGCGATCCATGTGCAAGAAGCGGACGAAATTGCTCTCCCCATAGTCATTGTTACCGCATCGCAGGCGGGATTGCTGATGCAGGTTTACCCTCGTACTCGTATAGTATGTGCTTTGCTCGGTACCAAGGGTCACATTCAGTGCAGTCGAGTGATTCTTAACTTCCCTGACAAGGGGAGAGTGCGCCGAGAATCTGAGGTTGAAGAGGAGACGACACCGCGCGAAGACGTCAAAACGTCAGCTCTTGTTGGAATGAATAGTGGGAAGACGTAAAGAGGGTCATATTAGATGCGCATAAAACCAACTGGATTCCAACGTTTGCGTAACCTGAAATTTTCCTCGGAAAACAAAACCGACCAACACCGCAGATTCCCATTATTTTTTTTCCCTCAGGAGTTAATAGTGTCCCCGAAACATCCGCCATTTGGTCCCACACGAAATCGACATGGTTACTCACAACATTTTGTTTTTCTCACTCTTGAGATTGCTACCCAACAAAACGTGCATGGGAAAAATCCTAACATTTCTGATCACAAAATTGAGCACTTATGATTGTGTGTTGTCACCAGCGCCAGAATTATATATGGTGGGAGGTATGAGACCAACATGAGACCACCCTTCAAGCCAGAGATCGGCGTTCAGGCGTCCTTCTGGGATTCTGGGAAAGTGGCGCCATTGCCTCCCCTGCCTGCTTGCCGGAAAGAGTAAATTGTGTTTGTGTGCATGTTTATGCAGCCTGAAGTCGGTCTACCTAAACTGGCGACTTGTCTTTCAGCTGCAGAGGAGCAATTAATTTAGCCAGTGCGGTACAACCGCTAGCCTGGGGTCTTTAACGTGAGCCACGCAGTAATACAGTGGGCTAGAAGGGGAAGTGTGCACTGCGGCGGCGGAGGAAGGGTCCTTCTCGCGATGACTGTTCCGCGCGGTACGTGACTCGCAGAGGTCGGCATTTTAGGTCGCCCTCACTCACTCTCACCCTCACAGCCACACTCACCTAAGCCCCTCACTCACCCTCACCCTCACAGCTACACTCACCTTCAGCCCCTCACTCACCCTCACCCTCACAGTCACACTCACCTTCAGCCCTTCACTCACCCTCACTGAACCTCACGCCCCTCACCGCCCTCACGGCCCTCACGCCCCTCACCGCCCTCATGGCCCTCACGCCACTCACCGCCCTCACGGCCCTCACCGCCCTCACGGCCCTCACCGCCCTCACCACCCTCACGGCCCTCACGCACTCATAGCCCTCACCGTCCTCACGGCCCTCACCGCCCTCACGGCCCTCACGGCCCTCACGGCACTCACGGCCCTCACGCACTCATAGCCCTCACGCCACTCACCGCCCTCACGGCCCTCACCGCCCTCACGGCCCTCACCGCCCTCACGGCCCTCACCGCCCTCACCACCCTCACGGCCCTCACCGCCCTCAAGGCCCTCACTCCACTCACCGCCCTCACGCCACTCACCGCCCTCATGCCACTAACCACCCTCACGCCACTCACGCACTCATGGCCCTCACGCCACTCAGGCCAGCTTCAGATGGGGCAATTTCGCCCAAAAACTTTACGTCGCAACACCAGCAACACGCGCCGCCCGCGATCACACGCAGCAACCAATTGCTGCAATTTGCCATCGTCATCATAACATTTTATTTTTCTTGCACTATTTAGACACAATTACGCGTTATAAACGTGTTTTTATGCATTTAAATCTCGTTAAGAATACTAATGCACCTTTCTGAAACAGTTTATTTCCAAAAAACGATCGATTTCAAACGAGAACCAAGTCTTTCGGTGTCATCATCACCGGCACGAGGTATCACGTAAACATTTTGCGTCCCTGATTAGATGCAGCCGCTTCAAACGTACTGGAATTGCTCCGAGTTGCTTTCGAGCCGGACCCGATCTCAGCAATTCGTGTCGATCTAGGGAAAGCTTGAGAACAACCCGCCATTAACACCAAAATTGCTGAGAAAGATGCTCGATCTGAAGGGGGCCTCACGCACTCACCGCCCTCACGGCCCTCACACCACCTCTTGCACTCACCGCCCTCCCGGCCCTCACGCCTCTCATGCCACTCACTGCCCTCACGCATTCATGGCCCTCACACCGTCACGCACTCACCGCCCTCACACCACTCACGCACTCATGGCCCTCACGCCACTCACTGCCCTCACGCCCCTCACGCACTCATGGCCCTCATACCTCTTACCGCCCTCACCGCCCTCATGGCCCTCATGGCCCTCATGGCCCTCACGACCCTCACGGACCTCACCGCCCTCACGGCCCTCACGGCCCTCACCGCCCTCACGGCCCTCACGGCCCTCACCGCCCTCACAGCCCTCACGGCCCTCACCGCCCTCACAGCCCTCACGGCCCTCACTCACCCTCACACTCATGAATTTTGCTGGTTCAGAAACTCACTCACCCTCACCTCACCTGTGAAGATGAGGGTGAGTGAGGGTGAGTGAGGGCAATCATGAGTGAGGTTTGCCGAGGTATGTACGTGAGGGCGCTGCTGCTAGCAGCGTAGAGCTGCGGGAACCGCTCAGACAGCTCTGCAGGCGGAATGAGCGGCTGGTTTTAGTATTGTTTTGTGGTGCCGTTTGAACGATGCAGTTGTTTATATTTGTTCATTGACTGCTGCCCTGCTTACTTATGACGAATTTTAGCACTTCCGGAACGAACAGCCATGGTTCTTTTGTGATAACGTGCTTGCCGAAGGACTCGCCTGGTCGCAGCCCACTGTTACCGTTTTGGCCATTTTAACAAGGTCTTTTTCATTTAGAAACTATGTCCAAAACACTTTTGGCTGAATTTTAGTGCATTGACTTATACAGATTACACATCTATATTTGCTACAAATAAATGTTAATACATTTTGCACTGCTTGACATGCTTAACAGTTAGGAAGCTACCTGTGAATGCATCTGGGTGCTGCTTTTGCTCTTCAGACTGGTCTCCCTCAAGGAAGACACCGGCAAAACAAACAGTATTATGTAATGCTTTATTTGTCATTCAGATTTCTTCAGGAAAACCCTTCCTCCTTTTGTTAGTGAAAATATTTTCACAAGCAAACACAAGCTTATGTACAAACCAAATCTACGATTCCGGTTAGGCTATACTGACATCCTGCTATACAGCCAGGGCCGGATTAAGGTACGAGCTAAGGGGGTTGCAGCCCTGGGCCCCAGGCTGTCAGGGGGCCCCCGTGCTGGCCCCTGAAAATTTAGAAATGTTAGTCTTTTTTTTTTTCTTTTTATTTATGAAAGTTTAGGCAGAAAGCAGAAAAAGCACTTCGAAGGGCCTCTGGCGCAATGGCATTCTCGTTTTTTTTCAAAAAAAAAAATTGGGGGTTGTGGGGATATTTATACAGCGCGTAGTTGGTCAGCCATTAAAGTTGCGACGAGTCACACACTGTAGATGAGCAATTTAGCCAGTGCAGTACAACCGCTAGCCTGGGGTCTTTAACGCGCACCGCGCAGTAGTAATACACGACCGTGCGCCGGTATACGATGCTCATCCAGATCGAAACGGGCAGGTGTGGGGCTCGAGCCCAGGATCCCTGGGTTCTGCAGCGCGAGCTTTCGCTTCACGCGCGTCGAGCTGGGTGTGCGGTTTAGCCCGCTAGGCCACTGATCCCCCTCTTTTCCTCAACAAGGAAACAAGGGTGCCATAAAGTTCCCGTCTCTAGATCGGCTGGCGCTTGTGAACTCGTTGTACAAGAGCGTGCCAGAACAACAAAATTTAACACGGCCTCCCAAGCCCCTTGATAGATTTTTTTTTTTTTCATTGGAGCTTGATTGAAGGACGGTTATGGAGCTTTCTTTTGTACTGGGGCCCCCTTAGCGTGTTTTACGGACAGTTGTGGGCAGGAAGTTAAGCAAGAGTTAAGCAAGCTACGCAGGTGGTTCAGGCATGTTGTTTTAAACCTTTTCACGAAACTCCACATGGAGTTTATTCCAGAACGATAAGTTTGGAACAAGCGAAAAGCTGCCCGTAACTCGTCCGGACACCGTCTCTATAGCCACCAACAAAGAGGACTGCAAGGAAGTGCTCTAGAGCCGATATCTGGTCTGCCAGTGCAACTGAACGTTCTTCCTTCCAGCGACTGATACGAATACTGCAATGATTTCACCAACCTCTGATGTATAACCTCTTATTTTTTAACGTTGAGTCGCAGAACAAAATGGCCGCCGAGGTCTAAACTACTGCATTTAAAAAGAAC